TAAATATCTTTAAATTTTATTATTAAAATAATATAAAATTTTACACACAATTAGCATATTTATTCAACTATACACTAATCAAATTTAAACTATAGATGTTGTATACATCTCACAAACCAATAGATAGAATTAGTCCTAATTTTATTGCATAATTCAAAGTTACTAATATAAACCTTAACTTTGTATAATAATTGTAAAGTCTTTTCAAAATCTATGAAAACTAACTTTATAACTTTGGAAGAAGCTTAAAGCTAACTATGCAATCTAATTCTTTAATCTCCAAAATCTCTCCTATTTTGCCTTAAATGGCCATTTTAGTAGTTAGAGGTTTGATTTCGACCTTAATCTACAAATAGTCATCCCAGGATATCAATCCAATCTTTCTTAGGGATGTTTTGAACACAATTTTATCCTCAACTTTATCTTAGAATTAATCATATTAATTATTTATTTAATCTATTTTATTTTTATTAATTTATGGGCTTTCTAAAGCACTAAAAGAATTTTTTACACCCTAAAAGGTAAATTTACTAATCAATCTTTAATCTACTAGCTATTAAAATAAGAAATAAACTAAGAAGATTTCATAAAAGCCTTGTTTAAATATTTAGAATTATTATTGAATTAAGATGATAGAGTATAAATTATAATATCATTTTTGTTCATATTTTCATTGTATAGCCGTATTATAATACAACAACATTTGGATGTTAATAGATCTTTTCAACTATACAAGTATTGAAGTATAGTAGAATTGGAAGCAGTCTTGATATAAAAAGATGATGTAAGATATAAATATATTATTATATTTTCTTTTAAAAATAATTATAAGTCAGAGTCAAATTACTTATCATATGAAAGAGAAGCTTTAGTAGCAATTTGGACCATTGCTTACTTCCAACCTTACTTGTATGGTCAATGCTTTATATTGATAAACAACCATTAACCTTTGAAGTGGCATGGAGTCAAATAAGCTTACTAGTAAAATTGCAAGATGGACTTTGTTGCTTTAAGAATATGACTTTGAAGTTGTGCATCAAGCAAACATTATCACTTTGAATATTAGACTTTTTCATAATCCATGTCCTTCAAAAAAAGATATAATGAAGCTTGGTGGTATAAAGATTATAATTGAGAGGCAATCCCTAGATGACATGTAGTGACATATTTGACTTTAATGTCAAGTTCTACAACCATGATTCTTGACCATAATTTACATGAAAAAATTGAAGAAGAATGAAGTGAATAATAATATGTGAGAAGGTCTTGAAGTCTTGAAGTTTTAACAAAGAATATTTTCTTCAGCTATCTCTAACATGGAAATAGATAGGATTAGTACCAAATAATAAGACTTTATTGGAAGAACAATTTGTTATTTTGTGTATGGTCTGATCAGTAGATTCAATTGAAGAGCTATTGTTTGTTGACTTACCACACTAGATATTGCGATTGTTACAACTTTTAAGATAATATAATCAAAATAAAGATCCTCAAGAATGATATATTCTTCTTTGAATAGATGGCAAGATTCAATATATTTGATATCATAAGCTTGGAAGAAACTCTCAATATTTGGTAATTTTATTAGAAATAATAATGACTCTTGACAATATTTCAAAAGTTTTATTTAAAGGGAGTTATGAAGGTCTCAACAATAATCTTATAACATAATGGTCCTCTCATCTTAGTATGAGACATTTGATGGCTAAGAAGACTTATCAACCATCTTCAAAGAAAACAAAGATTAGAATATGTGGCAAATATAATTTGTTACATCTTGGATTTCCTCAACATGTGATAATTGCTCCTCGTAGAACTTGACTATAGAAAAGAGATAATATCATAGACATACATATTTATTTCAATAATTACTTACATAATTAAATAGAAGTAAATAAAAATAAATTAATTTCATAACATCTTTTAGAAAAGCTTTTAGAAGCTTCATAAATTTGGCTTTGACTTTACATGTGTTTATAGTTGATTGATAGGTTAAAAACTTAGTCAACAAATTAGCCACATATCACATGTATTGGTAGCTTGTAGAACAAGCTAACTATGTGGATCATGTATAGAACGCTTGCTTGCAAGTTAAGACATGTGTTGTATAAAGTTAACACATGTTAGAGGTCTTGTAGAATATTGCCATGTAGCTCCTAGTTAGATAGTATATAGAGGAAAGAGTGAAGCCTTCTTCACTCTTGTTAATGCCTTTCTTGTTCTTAATCTAGTTTCAAGAGTCTATACTCTTTTTATCTTTGGCAATGGTTATTTTAGTCTTAATGCTATATTACTTGTAGAGTGAATATTTATTCTTCTTGAGTTATATAAGAATATTTTAAGATTCTTCTTATTTTAATTTATGTCCTTCACATGAGTATATACTTATCATTGTGATATCAAATTAAAAAAAAAAAATGCTAATAACTTGTGTAATTCTATCTTTTGTAGATATTCATCAATTCTTCTATATCAAGCTCAAAGAAATGGCTAAAGTCGGTATAGTAGTTGTTTTAGTTTACATACTGGACTATTGCTTTTTATATCTTTTGAATCCAAATGGAATGACTATAAAGACTTTTTTTTAGTATTTTATTTAAAAATGATGTTTTAACATCATATTGTTTTATTTTCTATTGTCAAGCAGCTTTTAATGATATTATTGTTTTTATTATGTTCCAACAAATGACAAAGTTTTTGAGAAGTCTTTTCTTTCTTCTTGTTCAAATCCACATGCCATGTGCCACTATTTTTTAATGTTGCATGAAGCTTTAGTCTTCTTTTTAAAGATCCATTTAGTAGTCATGGACTTTTTTCAAGTGGTAAGTAATAAATTTTTCAAGTGTTATTTTTCTTAATGCTTTTAACTTCTTGATTAACAGCTTATATATATATATATATATATATATATATACATATATTTTATCCTCAACTGCCTCAAAGTAGACAATAGGAACTATTTCAATGTATCCACTCAGTATCCAATTATCACAAATTCTTACTGATGGTTGTTTGTATATGTCTGTTCTTCTTTGTATAGAAAGTTGGCTTACTTGGGATGAATAAAGAGTTATAGGCAATGATGTTATTGGAGATAGCATGATGGGAGTGTTTGGTAATTTTTCAAGAGAAGAGAGCTGCTCTACTGTTTCATTTGGAGTTTAAGACTAAAAAGATACATCTTTAGATTTAATAAACTGATTCTCATTTTGTTCAAGCTCATCCTCATCCTCATCCTAAATTGGTATTGCATGTTCATCTAAAGTTCATGTTAATATAAAGTACTCATCTTCAAAAAATTGAGTCCATAAGGTAACTTTTTGTGATCACATCAGCTTGGTTCACTCGAATCTCCAACACTTCTGTGAATAGAAGGAAAATGCATGGCTCCGTGCATACCCGTTTGGCAGTTTTTCACCCTCCGATGGAATTGTTGGGTGAAGTTTGACATGTTTCCCCAAGTTGGTGACCGCAGCCACCAATTCCGGTTCCATTGTGTCTTCCTTCCGAACGGCATTAGAAAAATCCATGTTTGCTTCCGATCCAGTTGGTTCAATAGAGCGTGCGCCAATTGGACCCTGACTAAGTTTGCATACAAAAAAGTTCCTGCCATTGTAATAGAACCAGTTAATCTCTTCGACTTACCCTAATCCTAATTCTAATTTAAGCAAATTGTAACTCGGCCCACCTCTGGATCACAAAAGGTTACAACAGTGAATTTTTGTGATAGAATGTGCGTCTATTACGCACAACCAGCGCCGGATTATGTAACGTACTCAAGTACTCAAATACGTTACATACTCAATCCGGCGCTGGTGTAGGGTTTAGGGTTTAGGAACAGTATTCCGCCCTGGAAATCCTCAGCCGCAGTGAGCTAAAACCTCCGGAGCTTCATCGCGCCCTCCATGACTCCGGGGCAATAGCAAGGAGGTTAACTCTCACATGTTTCAAAAACAAGAATAATAAAATATTTTAAAAAACTATGATGATTCAACCGGAAACAAGAATAGTTCGCTTTCTTCATGATCAAAATCTAATGACAACAAAAGGACATGATCCATAACTGCAGTCAAACATAATATCAACAATACAAATCAGATTATTAATATTACACTAACATATTCAGAAAAAAGAGAACAATAAAGAACAAGCAGAAGAAGAAAGAGGTCCTACAGTGTTTATGTACGTGTGTGTGCAAGTGCTGAAAGCAACAAATAAGTAGTACAAAAGCCATGATATTTCTTTTGGACTATTTGTCAAATACTACTTTGATTGTATTAACCATAATGATAGTAAAGCCCTGGTGTGACTGCAATGTTACTGTCCTATTTGCAGAATTGAAGTCTGCACAGATGGTGTAGACTGTTACAAAGCTGAGATTGCAGTGTAAGATGTCAGTGGTCACCCCAACCTCACTAACACATACCTTGCACATGTGGCCGCCTTCGTCTTGCGTTTGGGTAGGCTTTTAATTGAATGAGTTGATCAGAGCAAATGGAGTGATGATGCTTTTTCGATTTCTGACAAGAATGGTGCAGGGGGCTTAGCCTCCTGATGGTTACAAGAATCCCATTCTGTTTGTTGTTCATGCTGCATGCCACCAATTTGTTCCATAGTCGGTGAGGGGTGCCGCTGAGTTGTGATTGTGTTTGAGTGCACTTCAAATCTGTGAATCTGAGAACATGGGCGGGTCACAGTAGTCTCTGACTTTTAAACAGAAATTGTACTCAACTGCAACTATACAAAATTAATGTGTAGATTTATGAGATGGGTATAAACCATCGCGCCAAGACTGATCAAAAAACCATTATGGCTTTCTCTGGTGCGCGTCTCCACGTGTGGCAACCAAGAAGATCTAAATTGGAGAAAGAAATTGCAGAAATAGTGATCAGACTAGCACCATAAAAAGATAAAGCAAACATTACTCGTCCTTTTAGAACGTTTGTCCTAATAAGAACGTTGTATCTTACCGGAACGAGGATCACCACCACAAAAACCACTGCAGAAAGTCATTTCCGAATCATATTACCACATAGATACAATCCCAGGAGGCTTCTCCAACAAGCCTGCAAACTAATTCTAAAGAGCGGGACTATGGGGATTAGAAGCTGTATTTTGCACAAATTGAACGTCGTTATCTGAATGTTCAGATCTTGCACCATTTCCTACACTCATCTAACTCAAAAACATGCACCCATGAATCTGCTCCACTATCCACTTGCTGCTGGGCAACAACATTGGGCGATGATTCTGTCACTACTTCTCCAAGTCCGGGGTGATCAAAGTTCTGGTTATCTAGAGGGACCTAATTTACATCACTGCAATCCAAGGCAGGCTTGGGAAATTCCTGATCAAGAATGTCTACTCTGAAGACTTTGCCCTTGTTTCTTCTAGCTTTTCGAGCCGATTTCTTACCCCCTAAAGCGGGAGCTTCCTTCTGCTGCTTGGACTCCCATGCTCTGAGTATGTCTAACACATCTGTATGTTTGTATCTTTTGGCAACATCAGCTGCACGAGCGCCATAAGCATTTGGAACATCCAGCGATGCACCTGCACTAAGTAGTTTCTCAATGAACCAAACAGAGCCCTTCTGGGCTGCTATATGAAGTGCTGTCTGTCCATACCGATTCTGCCTATTCAGCAGCTTTGGTAGCCTATTTAATGCAGACACTGCATTCAGGTCTTTGGCTTTTCCAGCATAAGCCGGCATCTCAGATTTCTCATTAGAATCTTCCGACTTACAAGCCTCTGCAGAGATTGTTGCCGAATCCAAATCATTCAAAGGCTGCTCCTGCTGGATAGCACCCAACCCCAGCTCATATCTCGCAGCCCAGAGTAACATCTCTCCCACATTTCGGCGATCCGCGACCGCTGCTGCCATGAGAGGAGTCCATCCATCACCTGCAACACAATCATATTAAATTAGGTTATGATCATCTTCATATATATATATATATATATAAACGCTCTCCAGCTCAATAGAAGACACTCACACCCTCCACTGCAGTTAGATTCTTTTCTAAAGCCTAAAACTCAAACCACGTCCCTGGCTAACATCATTATATGACACGTCTTATCCCTAAATAGCCTTCTACTTCCATCATGGTCCGGTTGACTTTGAATCAATTCTCAAGTAAAAACTAGGATTTTCTGCAGCAGCAAACCGATCAAGAAACCCAAAATAATACTAATAAAAACTAGTCGCTCTAAATAAAACAAAACCTGCCCTTTGAATTCAAAGATTGTCAGAAAACTAGAATTGGATCAGGTTTCGTGTGCACAGATTAGGTTCATGCCTCAAGCGGCCACTCAATCGCAGGTAAACAAGAGGTTTGAGTGGAACATAATCTATCTCCCACCTGGCTGCCATGTGAGGCACCATCGGAGGGCTCCCACACCCGGGAAAGGCATCTGCTCCCAGGTCTGGCCTGCAGGCTCTGACATGGGAGTCCAGTTCCAGGGTACATATTTAAAGATCTTCGGGTGAAATTCCGGCCACCAAAAGAAGGAACGATATGAGGAAGGAGGGGCATACCATAAACATCGGCATCCTGCCAGTTCACCCCACGCTCATGACAGTGAGCTAGCATGATGCCAACAGCGGCAGAATGGCCTCTGAGAGCTGCGATATACAGCGGAGTCTCGCCTGCTCGGTTGCTGGCCAATACATCAGCTCCACCTTGTAGCAGAAGCTCACAAGCTTGAGCAAACCCGGATTCTGCTGCCACAAAAAGAGCTGTACCCCCTGAAGAATCTTTCATTCCCACAGCCACCGCACCAATCGCAAGCAGTCCAGCAATCATGGGAACATCGCCACGAGCAGCTGCCATGTGCAGTGGGGTTCGTTTTCTGACATCAGAACAGTTAGCTGCTCCACGGAGACCCAAGGCCACATCCTCAGTCGAAGAATCCCATATGTCATCGTTTTGAGGGAATTTGAACTGCTTTCCACCAACATTAAAGTTTGTGTATGCAAAGGAGCCAGTGCTTAGACAATCAGATAAAGTTAATCCATCTTGCCAAAATTGAGCCCTGATGCTTTTGCTAAACAACACAGGAGTAGTCTCTCGTCCTGGCGGACCGTTAGCCTCAACTCTACAGCTGGCGACCCGCCGTAGGAGGTCATTAATAGCACTTCCAGGTTTGACCTTTTTCAGACTATCAAGGACCCACGCAGCTGCTGCCACAGAACTCTCCTCACAAAAATCCCAAATATGAATTTTTTTCTTATCCTGCTCTCTGTTGCATCATTGGAGGAAACCTCAACAAATCAGTAAAAAAAACATTAACTACGTTCATCACAAGGAATTCGAGTAATTTCGTAATATTAAAAATATCATCACTCGGCATCACGATTCATGTTCTTAAAGAGTGTATGCAAGGAATTCTTTTATCTCATTAGGATCAACCAAGAATCTTACCTTCACATAAACACAACAATAACCAATAATAAACCTAAACACAACCATTGATTGCTGCAGTCTGAACCACTAACCTCACCGCCTGGACAATGGCAGAAGTAAAGAATGTCAATTCAAGCACTCGCAGCCTGGGAAGAAGCTCAATTATTCTAACTAAAGCCGACGTCGTTAAAGAAATAACGTCCTGTGATACAGCCTCTATTCTGCTAAGCCCTTGAGCTTGAACAGATCCACCCAAAAGCAGCATCTCAAGATGGGGGAATAGCATAGCCTGCAAAAATATAAATAACAAAATAATAAAAAGAAAAAAGACAAAAAGAAAAAAAACGTAAATCTGCAAGAAAGACTACAATCTCAATGAATTTTCCTTAAATCATGTCTTAAAACCTTATTTATCACCGGAATCAAAAATCCAGCGAACACCCTTAAGAAGTTAGTTTAAAAAAAAAAAAAAAAAAAAAAAAAAAAAAAAAGAGCTCGACAATGCCAAGGAAATAAATGATAAATTATGATAGTACAGAGCATTATCAGAGCAGCACCTGTGTGTGATATAGTTGTGCTAGTAACTCTATCAAACAAATATAAAACGAGAAAAAAACTAGGTTTAGACCCTTACCACAGCCGTGAAATCAGCAACAGAGGGACCAGCACAATTGTTAAGTGCAAGAATTCGTAGCCCCGATCCACTGCTTATGCTACCCAAACACTTAGCAAGATCACTGTCGCTCCGAGTCAATTCCCTATCGGAATCATTATCTTGAGGATGTGACACAGACACATCATCTCGAGGAATATCTAAACTATCTAGATGGCTGAGCAAAATGGTTCTCAATCTTGAACCATCGGCTGCAGAGGCCACAAGAAGGTTCCCAGTTGATGTAGAATTCAAACCAAAGCACCTTTGAAGACTTATACTCAACGGTCCAGACTTCACTGAAGCCGCAAGCACATCGGCAACAGCACTCGTTCTGTACCAAGATAGATAAAAGATAATTATAAGTAAAATAATGATTGGCGAAGGGGAAAAAAGTTACAAAGCATATAAATTCTGCACGTGTCGGATCTCAAATCGAGCATAATTCGTGAGCCCTGATTTGGCTGCTATGCTATCCAAAGCCCTACCTTGACAGTCCTCAAAAGAGTAAATCAGAAACGCAAGTACTTGAGCTATGAAATGTAATTTCACACGTAAAAGGATTGTGTGGAGAGAATTACAGTTTCTGACAGTTGTCCAGAATGAGACGATCCAAACATCGTAAATTGGTCAAAATCGCCGCAACATCGTCATCTACAATGGACAACCCAGCCAGGTGAAGCTCCCGAGTGGCGCACATATGTTTTCGAATGGCTCCTAAGGCAGCTCGAGTCCAAGAGCCTGCTGTCTGTGGAGTCACCCTGCCACTGCGAGGTTGAGCACTGTTACCAAGTAGTGTGAACAGACCAGTGGAGTATGCATCAGGAATAATCAACGCAACTTTAGTCACTGGTTCCCTCGAAAGTGGTTGATGATGATCAAAAGTAGCACAAGAATTAAACCGTGAACATCGACTGTGCAATTGCAATAACCGTCCACTCAGATGCAAAATCCGAAGCTAATGCGACGAAACGACGAGTCAAATAAGTAAAGTAAAAATCTCAGAAAAGGATTTACAATCGCCATGCGGAAAAACTGGCAGCAAGTTCCTGACAGCCACCGTTAGTTGGTTTATTTTATTTATTTGATATCTCGAATTCCCAATCTGATAAAAATTATTGCTAAGTGTACTAAAATTCCAAATAAAACACTACAATTCACACCTTTTTGTCGCAATGAAGAAATCTTAGTATAGATGTTGCTAAATTTAGCCCCAAATCTCTAAACTTCAAGCCAATCAATCCTTTCAATCGATTTCTGATTCAATGTGAAGAAATTCGTGCAATTCCTGAGCTCAAATACACTCATGCAACAAAGTGAGAGCAGCAAGATCTTCAGCCAATTAGATCAAAATAGCTACTACTGTTAGAACAATTCTGACATTCAAATTGTCTTTTCCTACAGAGACACCAATCCTCGACTGTGAGTTGGAATGCAAATCTGTGTACCTGTTCTGTAATGCGTCTTCGCAATTAGCAGCAGGTGTCTCGTCAAACTGTCGAGGTCGCAAGCGGAGGCGAAATGGTTCAGTGCGACCAAGGGACCAGCAAAGCCGACATGTGGAGAGCGTTGACATAACATCAACGGGATCCTCCAGGTGTGACAATATTGAGCCCAACACAACAGTAGGAACGTCCGTAAAATGAGTACCCTGTTTCCCATCATTTTTAGTAATTGAAGCTCGCCGTAGTCCCGCAGATGACTCCAACGCGCCAACTGAACTCCCCGCAGCGTCATCCATGGCGCTCAATCTGGTGTAATCACCATTCACTTGTTGACGCAGACTTCGTCGAACTCCACAACCTCAAAAATTAGGGTTCGCTCTGAGAGCACAACCTTTTCGCAATGCAGCAACAAAGTCAAGGGGAACCATGAGTGAGGAGGATAATCAGCTGCAAAATAGAGTACTAAGTGAACAGGAGCCAAATGGGAGGTCACATGGAGCAGGCAATGTATGAGCATAATCCAGACCATTACACAGAAATGGATGACATTCAGGTCGACCTGCTTACCATGGCAAACTTCAGTTATTACCAGGGGAGTGACGTACATATTCGGCGGAAGTAAGCACGGGTTGTAGCCAACCCAAGGGCTTCACAGAGTTGAACAAGGTGGAGTTATTCAGATGCTGTAAACTGATGCTGTAAACTTATTTCTTTGAGCTATACACTGCGCATGATCGGCACATATAGAGAAAGACTACTTGTACGAGTTTCCTTGCTTCACTTTCGTAGTTATGTTGAGAATTGAATGCTGGTCGGGATTTGTGACTCACGAACAGGAACATTCAGATGCCCATTCTACGACCGCAAATATATCACTGCGAATTCTTGAAGAGTTCCCAAATACAGGGGCATCCAACTCAATATGTTTAAACCTCTTCACACAGGTTTTCCTCACAGCTCTCGTTAACGAACCCTAAAGTATAGATGTTGATCGGAGTTGGGTCATCCACGTATATTGATTCTACATATCTGACACTCGACATGTTAGAAAGTATCTTCAGTTAAAACCCAGGCATATTTCCCATCAGGTACTCTGCAATTGTTACAACTTCTCAATCAAATTCTCATCCCGAATGAACAAGTAGTTGCCTATGCATCACCGCGCACCCCAAAACAATATAACTTCTAAACCAGTTCGATTCCCCACATGTTTCTTCGTTCGCTCCCACCACGCCGCAACTAGGCACCCCGCAAGACGTTACCGGGAACTAGTTTCACCTGTCCATCCACCGCTCTGTTACATTCAGAACCCAAACCCGAAATCATAGTTGGCGTGATTGCCAAGGAACGAACCAGCAAAAAAGGCAACAGATTTTGCGGACCCCCAAATTCTGTTGCACATGTCTAAGCAGGAGTGCAATACGTCGGAAAGATTGTTGCCCACCGGTTGTAAATGAAAGGTCGCCATGCTCATGAGGAGGCACATGTTTGCTGATTGACAATGATTGTGTCATTATATCAGCTGGTGATGTTGATGCATGACGCCCAGACAAATTCGAACTTAATATTTCTGATTCCGAAATTCACTCGTATCATGGACTTCATGTTGCAAACATTATTCCACACATCAAGAATGCAACCCTACGTCCAACCCAAGCTTCTGCTGGAACAAGGCCTACATTTCAAGCTTCGACAGAAGTAGCTGCACCGTTGATCATTCAAACTTCACAAAATGCGCTAAAATGCTCTATTTCTCAATTTGGCTGCACAGTTGAGAGGGCTAGAATATCCATGGATTAGCAGATCTGCTGCTATATGTGCCCCAACTTATATTTGTATATCTGTTGTTTACAATCCGGTGAAAGAATGAGTCCATCAAACTTCCCTACACTACTAGCAATGGCGTCAGATAAGTAAAACCTAATCAAATGTAGTGCATATGGACATGAGCACAAATGGATTGGATAAATACTGTTCTGTTGATGTCGATTTCACATATCTTTCGTGTCGTCACGAGGTGGCCTCTAAAATTTCTTATTCAATATCATTCATCCGGCAGTTGAAATTTTGCTGAATCAGTGCACACGAACCGCATGCATTGCTGTTGTACATTTTCGTTTAAAATCGTAAAGAGTTGATCTGTATCAGTATCGCATAGTGTGAGATTATACAATAGTTCAGTTCTCCTAAAGCATATGGGCGAGAACAATATGGTTCATCATTTTAGGAACACTGGAACTACTGCGTACTGAGTATTCCCTGGAAAATGTCACCACCCAAATAGCATCTTCTCTGAGCAAGCACATGCCAGTGACTGACGAGTATCATCAGTAGCCCTTGCTTCAAGTTACTGAGGCATAGCAAGGATGGCAATGTTGAGTGTTGCTAATTCAACATAACTGCTGCAGACGCAGATTAACAAATTAATCATATCATAAGCTACTAACGGATCCATTACATATAACTACATTTGTACAAAGCTGTCGCCAACTTGTGTCTAATTCTTGTCTGCACGAATGGCAATGCTTGCCACCAACATCCACTAATTGGGGACTAATTGTCACTGCACGTTGTTGTCACCACCCACTGGGTTTGAGAGTGCTGAGGAGGTTTGTGCTCATGAACACGAACAATTAAACTAATTTCCACTGTAAATGATGTCACCAAATTGATGAAGTCTGGGGAGGCTTCAGATTCATCTTTTGCTCTAGCTGACCTCCAGATATTTGCTTGGAACAATCGCTACGACGTAGCCTTCGACTGCGACGCTGATGATAGATAAATTATTATATGTAGGTACTCCAGAATCCCAATCAGTACATAAAAAAAGCTTAACAGATTGAGATACAACCCTTGGATCGCTCCATCACAACTTGTGTCTGTCTTGTGGAATAGGCATCCTTAGCGAGTAAAGGGCCGATGGTCTTCAAGGTCACCAACACGGAAACAGCGATTGATAAAAGTCGTAAGTTATGATTCGGGGGGTTGGTTGGCACATTCCCGGAAGTAATCGAGAGCAGCATCGTAGAAGCCTGTCATTGACTTGTATCTGGTGATGGAGTCTGGAAGAGCCTCCAGAGCTTGCACCATCTGCTGTGCCAGAATGGATCGATTTTGAAGACCGACAATGGTCTGATGTAGGTCCGAATTGTGAAAACAATGGCCCCTGACCTCGGAAGCTTCATTAGCGTCTCTCGCTCGCATCGTGTAAATAGCTGAGAGCTCACAGTACCCCTGTGGGCAGTGGAGTCGAAGGTGCGTCTCTTTTTCCCTTGTATGGCAGCATAGATGTCCTCCTCGTTCAGAGATTGAAATAGAGTGGGGTCGTCCACAATGGCCCAATTGGCACGCCACACAGGTTTGCCCACTTTCAAGCGGGTAAAGAACTGATACACGGCTGATCCAATTTCGTTCGCAAGCAAAGGCACTGACATGTGAATGGAGGCAATGTCCATACCCATCTTCTCAAGCAGCTGCCACCGTTGGGGGAACAGCACGGCGCCTGAGACAAGCCTCAATGTACCATTCACATTCATCAGCAAGCATATGTGTTCCTGAACGACACGCGACATGACTTCTAGAGGATTAAGCGACTTGTCATAAACATTGAACTTCTCTCCTGACGTTAGGTTGAACAGCATGCCGCCGTCTCGACAAAATCGATCAGGAAATCGCACATGGAAGAAAGTCGGCAAGCATCTCCAGAAGTTCCCAGTTTGCTTCCGTAGTCTCTGGGCACCTGACAAGAGAAACATCTTTACGGGTTCCTAAAATCTCCCGTCGAAGGGCCATCTCCTCATCGTAGAAAACGTCGATCTCAATTCAGTCCTTCATGTTCAGAGGCTCCGTGCCCATCGTCATTCTTAACGGCACGGTCAATGGCAAGTACTCAAATGTTCCTAGAAGAGCAATTGCATTTCATCAGGCTCGTCTAACAAAATTGATTTACGTCAGATCTAACTTCGCCTTAGCATTTGATCAAACGAATTCAGAAAATGACTGAGCTTTCGCAATTCACGGACAAAGGATCAAGGCAACAAGACCGAACCGGGTCCGAGATTCACTTCATCTGGTGCATCAGCAGATGGCGATGGAGCGTATGGTGAGTCCACGGGTGAGCTCGCTGTCGCAGTAACGTTCGTTTCCATCGAAGATTCTCGGTTTGATCCTTTGCCCGTAGTGTTCTTGAACCCGAACGGACATCCACCTGCTCGGACAATAGGTAGTCGCCCTCTCGGAGTCTGTGCATGCAATGTCGGTGAAACCCTTAGAGTTAGTCCCACTTAAACTTCTAAAACAAACAAAAACAAAATCGAAAATAACAGTAGTACGAACTCGCAACGGCAGTTCACCAGCCAACAGTGGCAAATGAAGTTACGAACGCCAATTGCGCTGAGATTCGGGGATGGTGCGGCGAATCCAATTCCATGTTGGTCTAACGAGGTGAGTGAACAGTCGGTGCAGGTTTTGTGCATGTGCCGTAAGATGTTTGTCTGCGCCTGCAAGTAAAAAATCAGTTTGCGTTAGGGGAAAAAAAAAAGTGCCGAAGGTCAATGTGCGGAATGTAAGGCTGGGATACCAAAATTATGACTGAAAATGGCACCAGCTCTTCAGCAACAGACCAGGATCGCAGAGGACTGCTCTTCATTACCATGCAGAACTTTGATGGGTATGACGGGGACTCTCAAGTCATTCTTGTGCAATATTTGAAGATAGGTTCTTACAATAGCAGTCGGTATACGCAGGGATGCCATCTTCACGACCTGAATTGGTGTAGCCAGTCCCTGAAAACCTTTCATCTGCACAGAACCCGAAATCAATCCCACGAAGTGAGTCCATGGAATGCGAGACTAAAAAATTACATCAAGCTGCAGCGACTTCTAAAAGCATCTTCTAAAATCGAAGAGAGTGAAAAATAAAGTAATATATCTTCACCACTCTGATTATGCAACAACACTACCCCCGAAGCGCTCACAACGGACGATCGCCAACTATTCCATGTATCCAGAAAAGACTGGAACTCTGGAAGTTGTCCAATCGGGGCTATGACAATCTTCGCCACGGGATTAAGGTGAATCTCGTAACAGAGTCACTTTCACATCTCGTCTGCTATTCAATCTCATAGAAATTCTTAATATCAACAACATGCAACACGCACAGCTCCACAATTTTTTTCCCAACACCGCACCTCAAGTGCTAACCAACAAATCGAAGTCCATCATACGCACACGAACCCTCACTCACCTCTTCAAAACACCCCCGGACCCGCGGTAAGGCAAATACCACCAATTACAAGTTCACAAATCTCCGATGATCAACTCTCAGAAATCGCCAGCCTGAGCACAGCACAAAAAGCGAGTACCACAGCAGCCCGGTGAAAGACAAGAAACCACATTCGATACCGTGCCCCCACAAACAACGATGCTCCAGAAAACCATCCACACAAAGCTCTCCAAAACACAATGTGAAAGAACGCAGGAGCACGAGGAAGCGTGAGTAAGCAAGCAATTTGAGTGTAGTGGAGAGTCTCACCCAAACAGTAGCAATCAGCACAAGGATGCACCCAACCGGGGCGAAGTATCTCGCCCCCCATGCAAGAAAAAGGTAGGCAAAATGCGATGATGCGGCGATGAAGGATGCGAGCCTAAGATCCAAGGGAGGGGAGCCATAGGGCAAGTGGTGTGTGCGACGGCGCTTCTCAGTCCCGCCTGCGATTCGCGGGTGTCGGGGTTGCGTGCCGTTCGTGTGCTCTGCCGCCGTCGTAACGCCCCGACCCGCTTCTAGTGGCGTCACCCCATGATGCGCGTCACGTCGCGAGCTCTGCGATGGACGTTGTCGCATAATCTACTGATGTTGCCTGTGTTTCGTTTCAGATTGTTCTTCTCATTGTGTGGCTCGTCATCGTAATCCTCTGCGGTTCTCTGGTCAACCTCGTTTTGTATTTGTTGAGGTTGTTTGTATTCCACACCGAAGGAGAGAATGGAGTCGGTAATTCTTCACTGGGAGATGCGAGCTCGTCTGCAGTGCGATCGACGGGGACTTCAGCCTTTATTGGTGTTGATTCTCCTAGTTTATATCTTGTGCGTCGAGGTTATAGGGCAAGGATTTACTTGTCTTGATCGGAGTGTAGTAAAAGTGTCCATGGTTACAAGGGGGCGGAATTCAAGAAGTTTTGAAGTCTTGAAGAGGCAGAATAATATCTACAAAATAGAAGCTGAGTTGTACTGGCTAACTCTGAATATTGTTCTTCTTGTTTAATGTAAACCCATGCTACTATTAATTTCATTCTAGCAAATTCTATGTTTTCAATAAATTCTACTAGGCCTAGAGCTTTGATAAATATATTTGCTTGTTAGAAGTGTGAGGGAGTATATCTTACCTTGATTATTTTGTCTCAATGTTTGTCTCTAATATAGTGATGGTCCAACTCTATATACTTCATCCTTTGATGCAAAATTGGATTGCAAACTAATTTGATACTGCCTATGTTGTTACACATTAATAGTATAGGATTTTTATCATCTAAGTAGAGTTTTCTAAGGAGCTTCCAAAAATAGGTGATGTTTTGTACAGCCTTAGTTAAAACACAATACTTAGCTTTTCCTGAAGACAATGTAATTGTTGACTAAAGTTTGCTTGATCATGCAATGGGATCTAAGCTAAGTTTATAGTATATGTTTTAGTTAGATTTTTGAGAGTCAATGTAACTTGCCCAATTTGCATCAACAAATGTAATTAGTCATCTTTTATTGCTAGAAGGTAAAGTATTCTATAATTTATTAAGTCTTTGAGGTAGTAAAATATTTTCTTTCTTACAATCAAGTGAGCAAGTTAATGATTGTTTATGTATCTCAATACTCTATCTATTGCAAATTGAATGTGTCAATAGTTGTCAAGGACAAGAACCTAACAAAAGCAAATAACCAAGTGAAACTTTTTTTAATGAAGTATGACAAAATAGAAGTAAAAATACATGTATATTAAAAAGAAAATTGAATGGCTATTGCCAAAAGACAAGAAAACTAAAGACTCTTTAATCTAGACTAGAGTAAAAAAAGAGTTGATAAGAGTGAAGAAGGCTTCATTCTTGCCTCTATATATACTATCCACTTGGGAGTTATAAGGCGACGTTTTATAGGACCTCAAATATGTGTTGATTTTGCAAGCCACATATCTTACAAGGTAAGTTTTTTATGTGTACGCCACATAGTTAGCTTCTTCTACAAGCTACCAATATGTGTAACATGTGGCTAATTTGTTGACAAAGTTTTTAATCAAAAAGTCAACTATAAATATGTATAAAGTCAAAATTATGTCTATAAAGATTTTAGGAAGCTTCTTTAAAAGATATTATAAAATTAATTTATTTTTATTTACTTTTACCTACTTCTTTTTAATCATATAGATAATTATCAGAGTATGTATGTATGTCCATGACATTGCCCTCTTTTCTAAAGATGAGTTGCTGAAGGCACAGTTATCATTTATTGAAAAAATCTAAGATGCGACAAATTATATTTGTTACATACTCTAATCTTTGTTCTCTTTGAAGATAGTTGATAGGTCCTCTAAGCTATTAATAATATTTTATACCAAGGTGAGAAGACTATCTTGTCATTTGATTGTTGTTGATGCCTTCATAACTTCTTTCAAAAAAAACATTTGGAATACCATCACAAGTTATTCCTATATCTAATAAAATCACCAAATATCAAAAGTCTCTTCTAAGGTAATGATACCAAACACGTTATCATATTACGTGGCATTTAGCTTAAGAATGCATCGATGTCGTGTAGCAACACGATTATATAGTGAAAATATAAATAAAAAAGATTGATTAATATTTAGTTATCTTGAATGTTAGAAACAGTGGCCAATTCCAGTGCCATTATTCAAAGGCCAGTTAATGTCACCCCATTACAAGCTGTATCACCAAACGTGACAACAACGTATGCTCCACCAACATCATCGAACCAAATATCCTCCATAATAACAGGACAACCAAGATCATTTTCTAACCCTATATGGAACAAGCCTAATAGGTATGTACCGGTGGAGACACCCAATATGCCTGATGGAGGTGCAAGAAGATTGCTTCGTTGTTTCCGTTGTAGATAGATTGGTCATTATGCTAGACAATGTTTCAATCCCACAGCTACTCACAATTACGCACCAATGTATGGGAATAGCAAGCAGTCAGGCATATTTATCAGAAATGTAATGCTCCATTCAATTTCAATAATCAAGATCAGCAAATCCAAAGCCAAGGAAAAATTGAGGAGATAAATTGAGGTCCTTAAGATTCTCCAATAAATCGGGTGGAATGTGTCTAAGCCGTTCTTATCAAGAGTCGATAAAAAGAAAAAAGACCAATTCAACATTTGGATGAGCTTCATGTAAAGGCCAATTTGACCCAATTACAAGGACATTCAATCCAGGTCTTGTTATGAGCCTCTTACCCAGTATGAGACCTGAGTCGGTTGGGCAACCCAATGAAGTCTTGAATATGGAGGCTTCGATTCTATTTCAAGCTGTTCCATTTTCTATGCTGTTTAAGAAAAAACGTCCTTTTTATGGAAAGATCTTCTTAAAGGCAGGAATTCTATGGAAGCGTGGTCTGCTATTCCAATTTCGAGTCCAGGGCAGAAGAATAGGAAACCTCACGAAGTTAAAAGAAAAGAAAGAAAAAAGAAAAAGGCATTTGGAGATCGGGGATTTTGGAGTTGGAGAGCTAGCTTCAAAAGATGTCAAATTGGATTTCATAGGATTTGGGAGGACTTTGCAATCATTGTTCAAAGTCAATGTTTGTATTGGTGAATTCGGTTCATAGGGTTTGGGAGGACTTGCAATTGTTGCTGAACGTCAATGTTTGTATTGGTGAATTGGGCTTTTGTAATAAAGTAATGGCTAGTACTCTTGACTGTTTTGTGAAATTGGAGAGACATCTATGGTTGAAATTTTAGAAGTGTCTAGATAGTTGAATATGCCAAGTGCATGCAAAGATTTGTGTTAATCTAACAATATGGATAGAGGATATTTGATCATTAGTGTAAAGAGATATCAAAAGTTAGTATATTGAGATTGTTTAGGATTTTTGTAATATCTGGAGACCTACTAACTGAAATAAGGTGAATTTTGATGCGATAAGTCGAGGACTTAAAGGTAGAGCTACACACAAAGTTTGAATGAGAATTAACGGTTAAAGAAGGAAAAATTGCAAGTTACAGTTCATCATCAACTTCTAGGGGGCGGTGAAGGGACATCAGTCTGGATTTACGATGTTTTCTTGCAATCTATAAGTTGGATTGGATTGAACTTCTTGGGCATTTAGAAGACTTGTAAAGACACTAGTGATAGAAGTTTCACAACAATCGGACGGTTAGGTTGAGAATTACAACTTGCCAAAGCTTGCTGTCTAGGGTTAGAATTTTTTTAAAAAAATAAAAATAAAAATAAAAAAATAAAATAAAAATAAAAATAACAAATAATAAAAGAAATTGTGCTTGTAATATCTCAAATTTATTAAAAATAGTATTTATAAGCACTTTTTATTGGGAGTAAGCTTTTATATTGAAATCAAAAATAATTTGTATTTAGATGGTTGAAACCCACTAGACTACTCGGATACTTACAAAACATCATTTTATCTTCCACAGTGAGATGCCCAGTGCATTCTCAAGTAAGACAGCACGTAATATGACATAAGTGGTGAATCCGACGTGAAATGCTTGAGGTGGGAGGTATTGGAATTCGTTTATTTTCATTTTTATTTTATGGAAAACGAGAATAAAATTTTTGAAGGAGCTTTGGGAGGAGCTTCAAGTAGAGCTTCTAGTGGAGTTTCTTCTATAGGACAAGGTATGTACATAGAGTCATCCATTGCTAGTATGTTTCAAGCCTTATCATTATCTATGCAACAACAACAAAGCAATAATTGCAAAGAAGCTTTAGCAACCAAAGTATTATAAGGAGTGGTCAATAAAATTGATCAATTTGATAGAAGGGATATTTCAAAGTATTTAAGATGTTATGTTCAGGAAATAGAATTAAATCGGGTTTTTGAGAAGAAGATGGTTGAATTATTTGGACTTGCTATGATATTAGAAATAAAAGAGCATATTACATCAATTATGGAGCATTATGGAAATTCATGGGAGATTTTTTCACATGCATTAAAAGATGAATATTTCTTGGAGGACATTGATTATGTTACTAAGAAACTATTTCTAGAATGGATTGAATGGCCTAATAAGAATTTGCAAGCTACAGAGCTACTAAGAAAATTTGAGTGGCAATATTCTCAATTATCGAAGGTAGAAAAATTGACATTAGAGTCGAACAAGGTTGAATTATTTCTTCAAGCTGCTAATGGAGAATTACAAGGGAAATTGGAGTTGCTTCTTGAAGACAAAGAAGAAGATGAAGAATTGACAACAAAGTAGAAAAATATTGAAAATGCGGTGGGTTTACTTGTAAAAAGAGAAAGGAGGAAGGATAGGAGTAATATTCCAAAAGCAGTACAAGCACCTAAAATTCCAGTACATACAAC